AATAGGCAACCAATTTGTGAAGAGGCTCAACAATTGATTGGATTTCTAGGCATGCTAGCCCGTAATGGAATGAAATTGCCTATTCATTATGAAACATGACATAATGTTCCAGAAAAAGTTAAAATCGATGTGTTAAACTTTATTGAGGTATTAGTATAATTAATTAGATATATTCTAATTTTTTATTTTACATTTTGTTTACTTATTCAAACTTTTCTTATTGTATTATTGTAGTCAAGATTTGTACTTGAAATACCAACTTCATTTGTGCTTAAGTTATTGGGAAAGAAATGGAAAAATTATAAGCATAGTTTGAAGAATAAGTATTTTGATCAAAATACTACTGTAGAGGTGATGATGCAAAATCTATCCCGTAATGTGATTAGGTGGCAATATGAACAACTGGTTAGATTTTGATTCTCAAGAAAAGGAGAGGTACTAGTTTATAACTTTGTATAATATAATGAAATGATGAAAGTGTTTGATGGTTTCAGTTGGTAATAATTTATATTTCTATCATATACACAATTATTTTTTATGACAGGAAAGAGAACAGATTGAGATTGGTTGCAGAAAGCAACAAAAATATAGCCACACAAATGGATCAAAAAGTTTTGCAAGAAAGCAAAAAGAAATCGTAAGTTTATGATAATTAACTTATTCCAATGAATGAACTTTTTCTGCTGTTAAAAAGTAAATATGCAAATTAATATTTATTGTTTTGTTTTAATAGATTTGATTGTTTCAATACATGATATTAAACTTATCGAAAGTTTTGAACTTAGTTACACAGATGATATGTATGAAAAGTTATTGTTTACGTATATTTACGCCTTTAATATCTAGTTGTTGTTATTGTTGTATTTTAACAGTTTCGATAGCTTTAATACTTGATATTAAGCTTGTCCGATTGATTGAACTTAGTTTCTATGGTTGATATGGGAGACAAAGTTGTCAGTTATGTCTATTTAGGAATATTTTTACATATAAAAGGCAAATATACAAATAAATTTTGGATGCCTTTCAACATATTGAATGGCTTCAATCTTTCATATTAAACCTGGAGAAAATAATTGAATTTGATTTTCATGATCGATATGTGTGAAAACCCAAAATGCTTTTATTCTTTGCGTATGTTTAAAACTATTATGTTGTTACAGGATCAAAATATAAATAAATGAGATTAAAATTATTCAAAATTTTAATACTTGATTGCCAGGATTGATATGCATAAATAAGTTATAGTTGATATGTATCCTATCAAATAACATATATTTTTGTATAAGAGAATGAGATGGGCGGTACAATTGGACGTGTGAAACTTTTTCGTGTAACACACACAAAAAAGACAGATCTTATATGAATGTCGAAACACAAGAAATTATGGTAATTTGTATCATCTATTTTTACATAAAATAAATATTTACTTTTTTTAACATATAATCAATTAATCATTAAACTTGATAGTTGTATATGACAAATTCACAGAAGAAAGCGAAAGAGAAAATAGCTACTAAGATTGAAATAGCATCTGAAGGTTCTCTCAACATGCAAGAAATGAAAAATCAGATATTCATAGAAATTGCTAGAAAAGAAAGCATGGATGAGTCTAAGGCCTTGGATTGGGTCCAACACCATCTGCCGACTATGGACATAACTCTCCGTAATTTACACTCTCAACAAGTCAGTCTTCGTGAGACATTTCAATATTGAGAGAGGAGTTGCAAACTATGCAACAACGTTTTCAGCAAATGGAACCAAAAAAAGAATAAGAGCGTACCAAAATTGAAGAAGAATGTGCTAGAATGGAGCTAGAGCGTGCAAAATTTCAGTAGTTGCATGATCGATTCGATCATCTTATGAATTTTGTGCAACAACAATTTTCAAGAAATGATCTTGGTGCTCCACCAACTCAGGTATTATATTTAGTAAATATTAAAATTTTTAAATAAAAAAATACAATGAAGTGTTAAAAATTGTATTGTATTATTCAATAGGTTTTTGAGCACACTAGTGACCAAGGTGAAAAATTTTCTTCATCAATTGGCAACCAGCAAAATGTATGTTGTCATCCATTTCATACATTTTAATTTTTTATTTTGTTAATGTATTAAAAATATTTGAATGTTATTATACTAATTATTAAATTTTGTATTAATTAGATGTATATTTAAACGTGAATGAAGTTAATATTAATTTTAGTTTCTGAATTTAAGCTCTTTACTGAAAATAAAATTTATTATAAGAAATTAAAAAAAATACATTTGTACATAATGGCTGCGTTTGCATTGGGCAATGCTACTAAATAAATAATTTAGTGACGTTTGTAGCATAAAACACCACTATAAGTAGCGGTGCTCTTTCTAGTAAACGTCGCTAGTTAGGTGACGTTTTTATAAAAACGCCACTAAAGTAACGGCGTTTTTCTCATAACAATGCCACTGAATTAGCGGCGCCTACAATATACAAATGTCGTTAATATTAAGGTATTTTCATATTCAAACACCTCTAAAGTAGCGACATTTTCTGTTACAAATATCGTCAATGCAACGGCGTTTTTATCATAAAAATGTCACTGAATTAGCGGCAACTAAAAGATACAAACACCGCTAATACTAAACCGTTTTCATATTCAAACGCCTTTAAAGTAGCAACGTCTCAAATATATAAACGCCACTAAAATGATAGCGTTTCATATATAAACGCTGTTAATATTGAGATATTTTTTCGAAAACGTCGTTATTTGCCGCAACGCGTGTATAGGTGACACTCTGCATGACGATTTTCACAAATGCCGCAAACCTTATAGTGTAGTTAATAAATGTCACTAAACAGTAAAAAAAATGTCACTAAAAACCAAAACCCCTGTAGTGTATGCTTTAAACTTTCTGGCATTGTTTTAGGGACAAAAATTTCGTTGTTAAATATTTTTTATGATGGAAACAAGAGCATTAGTGATAGAAAATTCCATCGTCAATTCCCTTATTTCTTGTAGTATTGAATTTTAAATTTAATTCTTTTAGTTTTATATTTTAGCATAAAAATTTAAATAATATAATATTTTAATAGATTCATATTCAAACAATGATATTAAATTTAATTAAATATTTAAACAAATTCGGATATCAATAAAAATTAACCGAATTCAAATATAAATACCTAAAACTTAAAGCGTTCTGATACAATTTCTACATGCAAACAACAATATCAACAAGCATGTGGCCTGTTGGAGTAGCCAGATCATCAAGCTATATACAAAGTTCTCCCTGGTTTTGCACCATATATAGAGCATTAAAAAGGAATTGAAAACAAACCTAAGTTAAAACACTTAAAAAAAAATTTGAGATTTTATTTTAGAGGTTGTAAATTTAAATTTTGAAAATCAAGATAGTACGAACATGGAATAAGAGAATGATATTTTCCTTTGTGTAAGCTATAATTAGACTTTAGTCGATAATTCTTCATCTCAGTATAGATAGGACAATAAAATGAGGATGTGAGTTCTAGATCTTAAACAGTAGGATAACAATTTTTTAACACTTTAATTTCAGTAATGAGACTTATTTGATGTTACAATTCCTTGATATACATTAACAATCCCATGAAAGTAATGATAACTTTTCAACTTTTATATATCAAAGATAGATGAAAATATCAGTGTTAAAATATATGGATATACATTAACTATAATTAAGTCATGTGCATGGCATTCTCTTGTTTTAGAAAACCAAGATACTTAAAAAAATTACCAACAAATATGATATGAGAATGATCTTCTCAGTTATAAAATACAAAATTAAGATATATCCTAGATAGGAGAGAGTAAGAAATTTTTTCATGATAAAAATATATGACTCCCTTCGTTGAACGATTCAATACAATTTTCGATCTCTCCATGCATGCCTGCATGCTACTGAGAAAATTAATCGTATGCCCATATATTAATAAAACTATGTTCCGATATATGAGAAGAAATTAACTTTAATGTAAAATTAATAAGTTTTATACATTTTTTTAATAATTAATTTCAATAGATCTAAATGATTAAAAAACAAGTGAAAAAGAGAATAAAAAAAAAGTTAATCTCATATCCTAAATCTATTGAAATCAATAGTAAAAAGATGTAAAAAAAAATTTTTTGGTAACTCTCTCTCTCTCTCTCTCTCTCTCTCTCTCTCTCTCTCTCTCTCTCTCTATATATATATATATAATTTTAATTGTTATGGCTAGAGAAATACACTCCATATTTGAATACGTAAGATTGATTCCCGTTAAATTGTCATCCCTTTTTTATCTACTTGTTGCCCAGGCCAGATATTGCAATAGAGCAAGGCAATCAACTAGCATCATCCTTTTGTCATATATAGACGAGTTGTAATTAATTAGATATATCAATCTGTTTTCAACTCAAAAGGAAAATGTTTGTTATGTTGCCTTAAATTTGACAAGAAAATTAAGCCACTACAGAAAATTTTAAAAAATTAAACCAAAAAAAAAAAAAAAAAAGACAGAGGATGCTCAATCTAAGTCAATGCAACTTACAACTCATAGTGTCACTCTTCAGAAGTTTATTGAGGTTGAGGAGGAGATACTGTATGATACCCGCCCGAGATAAACTAACAAGCTGCTTCAGGGCAACTAGGAGACAGGAGACTAATATTTGTATGAAGCCATTATCAGCTCGAAAAAGTTGAGCAACGATGCGCTGGGAGGCTTCTGAACCTGAATCTAGTGGGATGGCTCTATAATTCTGACTTCCCACATTTCAAGTTTCAGCCGTCTCTCTCTTAGAGTGGGGAACAACAAAAGAATGCCAAGGTTAATTTTGAATGCCCTTTCTAGACTTGGTGCAAATTTTGATGTAGTCCATATTATTCTCATGTACTTATTTTTATGATGCAAATGAACCAATGCATTTCGTCATGAATTCATCAAGGCTTAATAACACTAATCAAACCACCACAATACAAATACAAGACTTGCACACAATACAAGGATAATGCAAGGAAAAAGCATTATGGAAAATTTACACAGCTATCCATGCGAACATACACAATCGTCCTCATATAATCTTGAAATTTCACATACCATTTTAAAATGCAGAACTAGAGCGAAATGCCATATGAAACAGAATGACACATACAAATGACAGTCCATCAAACCACCACACATTAAGACAAACACTGATGCCAACATATAAATTCTCGCCAATCACAAGATATAGAGTTCTTCATGGTGCATAGATGTCCTAGATAGCCCTGTCTCCCAGCATAAATATATAAACAAATAAGGACACCTGATAAGACATGTGGCCGACTCAGGAGTGCCTCAGAGGAAAATGAGCAAACATACTTCAGCGCATGAAACTTCTGCCCCACCGAATTTAGATTTTATCAAGCTTCCCTGCCTTGACAACTGGATTGGCTTTAGCTATAGCATCTCGTGCAGCAGTGCGATAGTCGAAGGGGCAGTCATGTTTGTCTGAGTACCGGTGTGATGTACAGAAAAGGTTACCACAACGACATTTAAACCCTGTTAAACCAACCCTCTTTTTGCAAGTGCTGCACAGGTTTGGACCCTCTTTTGGCTTTGCCTCTGTGCTCTCCCCTAAGCCAGATGCACAGGATGGCTGAACCAAGATGGTCTTTGACTCCACAGAATGTTGCACATCTATACCTGTAGCAACAGCGGTTTCATTCCCATTGTTGTTTGATGATCCATTCACAATATTATCAATTGATGACACAGCAAGTTTAGCCTGCTGCTGTTTCAATATCATATCCTTGTGGCACTTGGAACACATGTTCATTGTAGCTGCACTTCCAAAGAAACCGCAATTGTTAATGCACAAAATAGGACGTTCAGGAGGAGCTTGGCATCCTGTCTTCTCATGGTCCATTTCTTCACCTCTCCTGCACAAATGCATTTAACTATGAGAATGTAACAGGTAAAATTGATAATACTAAGACCCAGAGACAATTCACACTAAATGCTGGTTGACACATACATTAAATTATCAGAAAATGCAAAAGAAACTGTATAATCCTGGTAGTAACCAATTTTTTTTTCTTCTCTAGTCACAATCAAGCAAAGAAAGCAGAACTCTACAAGATATAAGCATTACCCACTTATGTGTATGTGTGTCGGTCTATTTATGAACTAAAAGATATTTGAGAAAAAAAAAATCAATCTTAAACTTGCAAAGCAGGAAACTTCCCTCACAAATTAAACATTCATTCCACGGAAAAGGACTGCTAGAGATTAATATCTCATGCTTTATTAATTTGCAAAAATAACATCCTATCCGAGTCAACCACTTTGAAACAAGAAGTGAATGAGAAACACCTTCACTAAAGATGCAAAATGTAGATATGGAAGTGTGTAACTCTAAATTGAATTATTGAAATTCTATAATAAAAATATTGAACAAAACTTGACTTTTCGAAAAAAGGAAAATGAATGTCAAAATCCCTTATTTACAATTTAGTCCATTCAGTACGGCAAATAAATGACCAAATCCAGCGGGCATCACATGTAATAGCATTTATTATTATTGTGCAAGTAGTGGCAGTTCCAGGCCTCTTTAAGTAGTAATGAAAGAATAACAATCATCCATTTGATTTGCTATTCAGAAAGCGATAAACTTGATAGTAAACAGAGGTTCAAACCAAAAGATAGGACTACAGAGATAGACAGTAACAGAAAAAAAAAGGAGCTGTCAAGCTCTCCTAGATTGAATAAAATGTTCAATGCTGCAGTCAAAGTTCCTAATCTGCTCATAATTCATCAACCCACTAAGTAGAAGAAAAAATCCTGCCTAAGCATACAGTTTTTTTCTTTCACAAAGAGTATAGTTTTTCATTGATAAGTGAAAATCTCACATCTATATTAGCTAATTACTCTTAAAAAGCTCTCTCATGTTTTTTTTTTCTTTTTCCCCTGGCGTCTAACATTAAACCCAAGAAAAATATCAAAACACATATACCAAGTGAACAGACAAAATTAAAGAACAGAATTAAACCATAAATTTATTTATTTTTCCTTTCCCATAATAATCAAATTAAACACTCAAAAACATACAAGAAAGAGTAAAATATCCTTGACATGCATGAAAACTAATTTCACCCATCACACCAAATAATAATAATAATAATAATAATAATAATAATAATGCAATAATTCGACCTAGCTATAAAAAATAAAAAAATAAAAGGAAAAGGGAAAAAAGGGGTTAACCTGTTAGCTAGAGAAGTTAGTAAAATGAGTCCTAAAGCCGGTCTCAGAGCTCAAGAACGCATCCGATGAGCCCCTGTTTTAATAGGTCAAACAAAGAATTTTAAAAGAAAAATCAATTAAAACCAAATAAACCCATAAAAAAAATTACGCCAAAAATTGAAGAGATCAGAAACAAAATATCAAGATAAGAGATCAAAACCCTAACCGTAGTGTTAATGGACCAGATCCCCCGGATTGAGCAACAGAAAAGCCAAAGCCCAAAGAGAGTTTTTTTTTTTTTTTTTCTTTCTATTTATTTTTTCCTACTGTTTTTTCGTCTCTTCGATTTGATGATTTATTTTAAATGGCTTTTACTTTTTTTTTTCTTTGGTTTTCTCTGCCAACGAACGTTCCTTTACTGCTTAGAGGGTGACGTAGGTGATTCCAATCGGGTGCACGTGTTGATTTCGACATTCCTGTTTTGTCCTTTCTGTGGATAAAAATAACGGTTATGTCATAGAGAGATAATAGCCTCACCCTGTCAAGATTAGAAATATGACAGTCCAATAGAGGTTAAATTAGATGATTTTGTTTTTCTCTGTTTGGTAGGACACTCTTGCTTATTAAGTTGGGTTTTCTCTTTTCCCTTTGCTTCAAAGGGGAAGAAGAAATCTTTAGGGTTCATTGATGTTTTAACGACTTCAAATTATTAGATGAAAGAAATAGCATTGTTTTTCAACTTTTTCTTTCTTTCTTAATAAGAAGAAAGGAGGATTCCTTACAAATCATCATTATTTTAAATAATGAATAAATTTTATGTCCATATATAATTTTACGAAATTTAAGATTTTTCATTAAAATTTTATTTTTTGTGTAATTTTTTCTTTTACCAATAAATTAAAACTCAAGTATTTCCATAAGCATTTGAGCACTAAATTTTAAATTTTAAAAACCGAATCCAAGGACTGAATATGTAACTTTCCTTTTGCAAACTAAAATCTCACGTAATTTTTTACTTTTGATCAAATAAAAAAATAAATAATAAAATAAAAATAAAAAATTAAGCTAAAAAAACTGAAAATAAAAATAAAAATTATTTCGGGCTTTCAAATTTTTGACGTAAAATTCAATATCATCAATCAAGGCACAAGTACGAAAAATTAAAGCTCATTTTGATACTGAAAAAATTTAAATAAAATAAAGTATCTACACTAAATGAAAAAGATGGTATATTCTTAATTGTTGCTTCATTCTTATTGTCATCATTAAAAATAATTTTCATAATATTTTGATACCAATCAATTTTTCAATATAAAAAAACTAAAGAATATTGTAATATGTCATAATAACCCAAATAAAGTTTAATGCTATGCTATTTTCCTAAATGGATATGAATTATAATATCTCTTTCAAATGAAATATTTGAGTTGTTTCCTTCAACTCATATGACATCAACTTGATTAGCAAATGAACGATTATAAAATCTTTAATCTAAATTAACATTTTTGCAATACAAATTTTAAAATTATTAAAAAATATATATATCATTTAATCTCTACAAAACTAAAACATATGGATTTTCTTTTAGAATTATCTTTCTATCTTCATAACTTTTACACTTTAATTTTTATTATGTTATGTTTTTAGTTTATTTTGAAATTTATTGTTGGTATCATAAAAGCATAGTTAAAATAATATGACTAATCAACTTAAACTTAAAACAATTCAAAACTCAAATTGGGTAAACAAAAATTTTGACTTATTTTAAATTTTAATTTAATTAAATATTAATATAATACACATAATTATAAAAATAAACTAACTTAACTCAATTTCAATTGATTTTAAAAAGTTAACAATTAAGCAATTTTTTAAAACTCAAAATGATTGAGTATAACCAAAATTCGAATTGAAATAGTAATCCAATCATAATTCAATATTTCTTATTTATTTTCCATAACAATTTAAAAGTTCTTTATTTAAACTTTTGTTCCTTCATCTTCAATGTCTCATTTTTATTGTCTATGTAGTTGAATTAGTTAATTAATTTTGAATAATATTTTTAAAGTAAAATTGTAATTATAAGTAATTGAGTATCTTTTTTTATTTTGATTAAAGATGATTTAAATCTAGCTTTTTAAACAAAAAGAAGCTTGCACTAATTATTAAGTTAAATTTGCTCTGGTGCATAAATAAATAATTGAGTATACTATTAATAAAAATAGATGATAAAGCTTGACTTAACTTAGTTTATCCCTGATCCTAATCCTATTGAAAATTTTAAAAAGTTAAAATTTAAAATGATTGAAATATAAAATACACAATTAAGTAAAATTTATCAAATGAATTTTGATAAACGGATGCCCTTAAATCACTCTTACATTTAGTTAAATTATAATTTATAATAATTTTTTTATATTAAATGAAATAGTGATAATTAATTTAATGAATTTCAATGCTTTTTAACACATATTACCTAATATGGTAACCTTATGAATTAAAATATAAAAGTGAAAATTCTTCAACTGATATAATAGAGGAAATGAAGGATTATACAATGTTGCTTCTAATAAAAGAGTTTCATATTAATTCAACAAGTTTTGAAATCAATACATTTGTATATTCTTTATTGAAATATCATATAACACTAATCTTATTTGTCATATGAAGATAATAGAGCTATACATAACCAATTAATTTTTCATCTCATTTTTTTGCTTAGGGTAATCTTCCATTGTTATTTCTTTCAATTGAATATAATTGTATGTTCTACTAATTGAAACTTTAAATTTTCTTTTTTTTTGAAATTTTTTATTACACATAAATTTTTATTATATGAAAATATTAAAAATACTAAATTTTAAAATAAAATAAAATAAAATAAATTCCTAACATTACTACTTGCCATATTTTCTTCTTAAGAAAACTCCATTTCTTAAAATAACAAACTTGTTTTGTAGCAACTATACAATTTATAATGATTTCATTTTCAACATTAATAACATAAATTATCATAAATGAATATAACTTTGGCATAAACACATTCAAAAGATGATTTTAATGAATTTTGTTAGACCTTGAAAAATTCACCAAAAATAATTAATCTTACATCACTTGATAATTCTCTACTTAAAATAATTTATATTAGATCATTCGACTACGTACATGACAAAAAAAATTGAGTAATTTAAAACAATTGAGAAAGATTAAATCAATTTGAAATAGAAATTAGTCAATATGAATAATTTTTTGACAATTTAATCATGAACTACTGATAGTTTCATCATATTTTAAATCATCTAATTTTATAGGTGAGAAATCCAAATGAAGTGTTCAAAGTGTTAAAAAAATCACATAATGCTTATTATCGGGGGATGGTATGCAATTGGTTTGTATTTGATTCGAAATTAGTTTTTGAGAATAATAATTATAAAATTCTAGAAAAAAAAATACAAAAGAAAAACTAACTATAAAGATTAAGCTAAACTATTACAATGATATATATTAAAGAATTATTTCATGTGACTAAAATTATTAATTTATGTTATCAATGATCAACTCATAAAACATAGAAACAATATAATCATTAATTAGTAAATCAATTAAAACAAAAAATTAAAAATATGCATAGATAAATACAATATCAGTAAAAATATAAAGTAAAAAACCGAAATTTATCAATTGGACTTATAGTGAATCCAAACTCAATTGAATTGGATCTCGAATAAAATGAAATGTCTATATTTTTATGTTTACTGTATAAGTTTAATGTAGGTAGGTAGATGTATTTCTAAGATATTTTTTTTCTTTTAATGCAGAAGAGTCGGGATCCGCCACTTACAGCCTAGACCTTGCAACCCTTAACATTTTCCTCCCGATTGAGGAATAGCTAACACACCATGAGTTTCATTTCCACTAAATGCCTAATTACTCAAAAAAAATCAGTACAAAAATAGCTTTTCTATATATATATCTAATCCTAATATCCCAATCTTACATAGAAATTGTTGACACTGATTAATCACATGAAATAAAGGATCTTTACTGTACAAAGTAGCAGTGATTTTTTTCACTGCGAATAACGATTCAATAATCTAAATATAGAGTTCCTCTCTCCCCAGCTAATGACATGTCTATGAATTCTCAGGAAATCTTTACTCTTTATTGTAATGGTGATACATTAATCAATATTTATGTCATTACTTCTTTTATTAATTAATCAAAATGGATTCTCTTTCAAGTGTTAAATTAAGGCTCTGTTTAGGAGGGAAAAAAAATGAATCTAATGACTGAGTTACAAATTAGCATGTGTGATCATGTAAATCATCATATTAAAACTTTTATATAAAACCGAATGGAAGTCTTTTATATGAAAATTGAATCTAAATGCAATTATATTAGTTGGGATCCTAATTAATTAATTATATATCAAATATTAGTGGGAAAGAAACAGAACCAATTCTGCCAAATGCCAATTTTCATGGTAACAGGCAGACTCCTCAAACCCTTAAGTCTTCATAGAAGTTACATGCAAAAACAGCATAGCCAGTAATTAAAACTGGTTTGGTTTGTTACGGTCACAATTGGAAATATCAAAAGCACAAAGGTAAGAAATAAAGATTTAGTTTTTTTTTTTTTTTTTTTTTTTTTTTGGAATTTATGAAGGGGTAAAAGCCCCAACAAGCCTCACCAAAACTTTGAGGTATATATCAAGACCTGGTTAAATAAGTTCTTCATTCATCCTCTATTAGTTGAAGAAGCTTTTTCTTTTACCGTAGCTTCACTTATAATTTTACCAAAAATCTGTTCTTAAAAGTTTTTCGATCTTTTGATCTCAACATTTCCTTTTATAAGATTTAAGCATTTTGTTGGGTTAAAGAGTTTCTTAGCTTCTTGTGGGTAAAGTAACTTTTGGTTGTTTTACGAATTGTCTCTTTTATTACACTTTTTACTTAAATTTCTAAAAAAAAAAAGACTATAACTAAGAATAATTTGAAAAAAAAAAACAAATTTGATATTTTGGTTAACCAATATTTATTCTAAGAATTTAGTAAAATAATTAAGAGAGACAATGAAGAAAACCCAAGTTCAAGAAAAAAAATAGAATATTATTTTTTTATTATATTGTTTTTTTCTTTTTTTTTTCTCATATTTCTTGTTTTATCCATTTTGTTTTCCTTTCTTGTTCACAATTGCCACCTCAACTTCGAAGGCTACTATTTTAATCAATATTTGGCCCCTGCGCTGGTTCCTCAATTCAAGCAATTAATCTTTTTGTTCAATCTTCCACGATAAAGATCAAACTTACGTCAATGATCCCAACGTGACTCAGACACGCATATGGAAAATTATCAGGACGACCATGTGCATTCCCCAGTAAATATAGGGATTTTTATTTATTTATTTATTTTGGCAATTAATGAAGGGCGAGTAGCATCCAAGAATCCTATAATGCAGTAGGCACCATGGTTTTCAATGTACAACCCAAAGTGTGAAACCTCTTATTTTCGATGGCCAATCCCAAAGTGAAACCTCTTTGCCCGCCTGTCGTTAAAAGCATATTCAAGACGCAAAGGCCCTAAAGGTGAGTTCACCCGAATGCCAAACCCATATCCATATCCACTTCCAGGCTTAGACCTTGCCCCTGCAGGATTACCTAAAAAGCACAACAGAGAAAGTTTAGAGAAAAGAAAGAAATATTAAGAGGGCAGAAATTTCACAAGCATTAAGCTGTTTCTAGACCAGACAAAACTGATCCAAAGTCCAAACCCAAAAAAAACCCAACCCAATCTTCTTTAATTAGTTAAAGTTAACCATTTGAATCCATCTACCCGAATCTAAAACGACTCAGAATTTGAATCAACCCAAAATCCATAACGGTATAAACTTGAACTACCAGGAAAACTAATTCAAAATTTAATTGATTTGATTTTGAAGCACAATAATTTGAATCCAAAATGATCCAAACTTGAAATGACCCGAAGTTTCTTCCTACCCGCCCAATTGCCAGCTTTAGTTGTTTGTACATTGGCATCAACCTCTAGGCCATCCTGAACATTTGATTCCCCCACCACCCCCCCTCCCCAAAAAAAAAAAAAATTCCTTTTTTCTACCAAAACAGAATAAATAAAAATACAAAAACAAAATGCATCAGAGATCAAACAGATTAACCAGAATAATCTTACCGGGCACACTGGGGCCCGACCATAGATCATGTCCATAATCAGCAAAAATAACTCCTTTCACAGGCCCCAGCTGCACAACAGCAAAAGAATAGAACAATTAGTAGAATTCTCACATATTGTTAATCTTGTTCTTTAATTCTTATCTCTTTATAACCTTATGCAAGCCCTATGAGTTCCAGAATAAGAGAATAACATCACACCCAATGCACTTACCTTCATCAATAAAAGTTCAGCATTAGATCATTAGCCTTCACATCTAATGCTCTTTTTCTCCAACAAGTCATAGTCTTTACCAATGAATGTTGGGCTTATTTAAAACTCATTAGGCAATGGGTTACATAAGATGGGGATATGCATCCAGTTCTACAAAAGGAAGATCCTGGAATTAGGATCTGCATATTGCCCTACATTTAGCATATTTGCAAACTTTGGTGATAGAACATCAATATCTATATCTAAATCAATTTGAAGAAGTAACCCTCTCAATGAAATCTTTTCTTGTTTTAATACTCACGAAACTCAACTATGATATTCAACACTGTCGTGAAAAAATATCATTTCTTATGATTGACACTTGAAATTTAGAAAACAGAATGCATAGAATATGTCAATAACCATCCATAAATCCAATTGTTGGACTCTCAAATGTTACTATGCTAACTAAACTAACTAATGTAATTAAGATGCATAGTAGAAAGCTTATCTTTAAGGCAGAGACGTAAGCAGGAACTCTATCCTTAAAAGCCAGTTACCAACCCTCTTAAACGCTATCTTGGCTACAAGCAAACCAAAAACAGTTTCCCAGTTTATAGGATTCAATAGTCAATAGTCCACAAAACCTTGGACATGAACTTCACAATTGCTCAAGACACTGCCCAAGTTTCTCATAGAAAAGGGGAGGGAGGGCCACCTTCACCGGAGTACTAGGTGAGTTTCATAAAGTGAGCATGAAACATAAAGAATGGCTATGAAACTCATTAAGAAGACAAAGTCAACCTCCCAATTCCCAACTACTAGAATATGCACAACGTTCACCATAATATTTACACTAAAAGAGGGATAGAATTATAGCAAGCCGCAAGGCTTCCAACTATTCAGTGGCATGTTTTCCCGTTGAACCAAGATCAAGGGATCTCAACTCACATAGGTGAAGTTGGAAAATAACTAAAATTAATTAATAAGAAAATAGAACTTGTGACACATGGAAAGCCATATGCCAACAACTAGCATCCATATTTTGCAATCAAAAACCCACTTGTCATTTGATTAACACCTCAAAACACTTTGCAAACAAGTGTCAAATAAGTTGGCAGCTTAGTGCAAACTAATCTCATTAGAATTGCCTATAAATATAGGCTTAGGGGTTCATTTGATATCGCTTCCCTCCAAATTGGTTTCTAGGAAACTTCACACTTATTTTTCTAATTACAACCACTTAAAATACTAACATAATACTCTTCTCATACAGTATATTAGAATATAACTTAGTCACAATATTTAACTGGTAAAATTTGCATGTTTCACTCAATTTTCGTAGTTCACATACAAGGTTACAGAAACCACTAGCTATTGAATCCAAAAGATGAACACCACAATAAACATATTTGCATCTGAGATAATACTTTTTTTTTCCACGAAAAAGAATGATTCATCTGAGATATTGCTTAGGGAGGGCAAAAACCAATCTCAAGGTCAATGTTTCTGCCACATCTCAGCCTTATAGATAAGTCTCCTATGGTACACTTTTAATTATTTTAATTAGCTTAATTATATAAGCAGCACTGCACACAAAATTAAGCACCTTAATGTGTACAATCAATACTAGCATCATTTGGTTCAGCTTAGAATAAACTTTCAACTAGCATCACTTGATTTTGACTTCCAGTTTCAACAACATGACATTCTAGAGTCAAGCATAAATAAAAAAACGTATTTCCTGCCATCCACTTGAACTTATTCCTCTATTTTTTGTGCCATCAGTTTGAAACAATTTTTAACAAACATTTTAATTGAAATTCTGTAAAACAAGTTTTCACTGATATTATGTTTTAGAACCATGTTTTCAGATAAATTATTAAGTACTAATTAAAAAGGCTAGCAAAATGAAAGAAAACACATCTGATTCACGTTTTCAAAAGCACATCAGTTTTGTAAATTTTGGAAGTGAATGCATTTGGGAAATAGCTTTTCATTCAGATGGATTTTATCAGACTCACATTTTATATATGTTATGTGGTGAGTTAACTTTTCGAGTTTGAAGGACCAATACGAGTACCAGAGTCGGTACTTGCCGATATTTGGTCTTCTCTCATTTAAAACTTCTCTGTATATAGAATCCTTATTGATGTTTAGGAGTTCCTAATGTATATCTAGCTTTACACCAGGCAGTTAATAATCACAAAACTATATAAAGCTCAAAACCACATAGAATCAAGGTGAAGGGTCCTAAACAAAGGCAGAAGAAGGGAATACGACATGCAAACCCCATGGCAAGCAGCACAAGTTACGTAAAATTAAAAGAGGCAGAATTTTTAAGCACTTACCATTGGGACAGAAACTTCACTAGAGCCAACCATATAAGATCGACCAGAGCCTACAGCACCTTCTTTATAACCTCTCACACTGTTTGTTCCCCCGATAGCAAATGCCTCATGAGGAGAAAAATTACCCAACACATGCCCACCAGACAATCTAGCAATAAAAAACAGAGCAAATCAGCAAAGTATACCAAAACTATCTCCCCCTTTCTCTCTCCATTAATTTCTTTCTTGAGATAAATATTGAAGCTCAGGGTCAAACCAAGCAACTGTGGAAAACTTGGAAGTTTAGAAAACAAATTAAGAGAAATAGAGTTGCCAATTAATGATTATCCACCCAATACACACCATAGGAATTATCATATGTTGCTCCTTATGTAAAAAAAAGGTACATAATAAGCAAAATACCTTAAAAGAAGGCGAGCAGGACCAATTTCAACACCTTTACTAGCACGAGCATTCACTCTGTTGAAGAACAGCCACTCAGGCATGACAGGAAGTCCTTGGTCCATGTTAAATGCAAACTACAAAGGTAACAGAAATGAGGCCCATCCATATAATAAGTAATGGAAAACCACAGGGTACAGATGCTAACCATGGAGGAACCTTTGTCACCAGAACCAGTATAGACACTTTCGAATTTGGCCAGTAACATATTGTCATAAGGCTTACCACTACATTAAGAAATTAATTAAGAAAAGAGGATTTAAGAGAAGATTAGAAGCAAGCAAATTAAACCATAATAGTATTAACAACAGCAAATTTATGCAGAGTAATCAATCTTACAAAAGCTACACAACATGAGGCATCAGAGATAAATACCTTGCTGTAAGTGGGCTGCTATAGAAGTCTTTAATAGTTGGATTTCCTTTTTCATCATGAACACCAGCATGCTAGAATATTGGGATCAAATATTAAAAAAAAAAATCATATAACTGAGACATAAGCCTTAATCCCAACAAAAAACATAATAAAATTCAGATTCAAAATGAAAACTAAATTTAACGCGCTACTTTTTACAAACTTTGCTTTGAAGAAAACTGAGAACAGATACCTAATTGAGAAGAAAAACAAGCTATTGAATGAAGTAACATGCTGCACCTGAAAAATAAGCCCAGCTGTTCCACTCCACTTTGGCCTGATTGGTCGACTAAACTCTACACCAGCTGTTACACGGCCAATGCTCAGACTGCTATTGTCATGTTGGTTACCATGTACAAGTGTCCCAGGGGTTCTTGAATTCTAACAAACAAAACAGCACAGATAAATAGTCAATCTTCCAATCATCCAAAAAGTAAAAGCAAAACCCACCTGGACAATTATTGTTCTAGATGTCTGATTGTCATCTCCTTCAATCCATGGGTCTGTGAAGTTAATGCGGAATATAGAGTCAATTTGGCCCCTCTCTAAGGAAATATTAAGCTTTTGGTTTCTTCCAAACAAATTTCTATCAGAGTATGCAAAGCTGAACATAGGAAATAACAGAGTATGAGACAAGATAAACAGACTATCACATGTCATAATATATATATATATATATACAAACACACATATATATAGCAGAATATAAATTCCTCTCTTTTTTTTGCCTCAATAATAGTAGGAGGGATTGAGAAAAGCTGAAGGCTCATAGTGGCATAACAAGACAATACATGTGCAGTAGCATATAAGATAGCTAGCACTCAGGAAACAGGAATAGAATAAGAAGCCAAGATGAGAGAAAAAAAAATTAGAAAGAAAAAGCATCAAATAAAATACATCATAGTAAATATGATTTTCTCCTTCAGCACCAAAGTACCCTGGTTCTGATACATGCAACACCAGGAAAGAAACTTCTATTTTATCAATTATGATGCACATTACCTCTTGACAAGAACCCCTAAGAAATAAGAAACCAGTCCACAAGATTGACAACCAAAGCAATTGACTACAGACTCTCATGACACCAGCAATGCAAGGCCAATTAATTCTTAAAATGATAGTGTACTCAGGAACAACAAAACCTAACTGTTGGTTGGCTTTTCACTCAAATTTATTCCTTAAAACAAATCCTGCTTGCAGTATGCAAAGTAATAACAAAATTTGCACACTTCTGATATGAGTAATGGAACAAATTAGCCAATGTGAATCACATTCCATTCAAAAATTGAATTTGCTCCCCAAAGGATGAAAAGAAATTCTCTGAGATGAAACTTATCATTCATCTGCACAAATCACAATGAACCCCAGATGGAGAAAGATGACTGGAAAAACTGAATTAGCCAGAAAAGAACCATGCAATGTTACCTTCCAAAAACTCCTGATAGAGGGTCACTTGTAATCCTACAATATTCAAAATACTTAAATAAATGTTCTTTTAGATAAACCATAGATAAATAAGTATGAGCTTTGGTAACTAAATTAGGTGAGGGTAGAAGCCAGCACAGGTGTTATTGCAATTTAACTAGCATAACTTACCCACTTGATATTCCACCACCAGCAGAAAAACGACCACTTGGACGTTCAACAACATTCAATAGCAAATCAACCTTACCAGCATCTACAATGTGGCACAATCAAAATGATAATAGACAAATAAATACATAGAAAAGCTCTCAAAATATTAACACGAAAGCACCTTTACTTGCAAATGATTACAAACAAAAGGTAGCATATCATGTGATGCTTTATGAATCAATAAAAATCAAATCCTGTAAAGGAAAACTAAGAAAGCTTTCTATCAATAACAATGGGAAGGAAAATACAAAATGTAGAATTTAATTTGCTATTTCTAGCATTTACTATGACATCATTACAGTTATTTTAGTCCATAGCAGTAATCCAGAATAAAATTCAGTACACATTCTTGTTATTGCATAATATTTACTATGATATCATTACAGTAAATGTTAGTCCATAATAATATTCCAGAATAAAATTCAGTACGCATTGTTGTTATAGCATTATTATGTGTCTGAAAATTCAGCTTTAAATCAGGTAACGTCCTCAGCATGAAACAACTGACTAAAAACTCAGAAGGAGATTGCACATCAAATACATTTTTCAGGAATTAGCTTAAACATTTTGTCAACCAGCTAAGCATACGTCAGAATACAATATTTAATATTTGTGCATGCATGTGTCTTTGCAAGATATATTCATTCACCTCCAGTAGGTTGAGTAATGATACTGACGTCTGTCATGAGACCCATAGTTGACACAGTATCCACATCTCTTTTTCCTTGAAGCATACTATACACCTACAGGAGGATAATTCAAATGAAGCAACCCACGCTAATCAGGACAAATTGCACTTTCCATGGGCATGATTCTTGGATTAGGATAGACAATTCTTTATGACTTGTAATCAATTAAATGCCCATCTATGTATAAAAGCTAGATCAAGGGTCACACCTGCCCCTTTTTGGTTGTGAGTTGCCTAAGTATTGTTTCAGGCTTTGTCTTCCCCTTAGTTGGTTCACCACTGAGACAATAATGAAGCATTTCTAGTCATATCCTAACACTAATAAACTCAAAAGTTTGATATGCACATTTGTGAATGCGCCGCTATTTGAATAAATTCACACCCAAGTGCAGGTAAAGCAAACTGACAGGAGGTTCTTACGTCTTTCGATCAAGGAAACATATGGATATATCACTGACCTCTGATTCAGCAACTTGTAACCTTATAATACCTCCAGAAAAAATATCAACTCCAGAAACCTATAAGGTAAAAGAACAGTTCATGCAACATTATTGTATTCAAAGATTAATGAAGAGAACATTTGTATATACAAATTAAAGAATCATTTAAGGCAAAGCACTAACCAAGCCAAAAAGACCACGCTCAGTGTACCATCCATTGATAGAATTAATTACTTCATCTAAACGCTTGAGATTTACCACTTTTCCTGCACAACTTGACACCAAAAGTGAAACTAATGAAGGCCTCCCATGACAAAATTAGAAAGCAGCTCATCAAGCAAAGAATCTAAAATGTACATACATCCATGCTTAAGAATGCAAAAGGAACACATACCATGCCCATCACAAAAAGCATCCTCAAGAAACTTTGAGGGAAGAACATTGGCTCCTTCACAGACCAATCTATGGAACTCCCCATTCGGTTCCACCTTATGCCACAAGAACCCAATTTCAATCAAATCACCATATTATTTTCTATAAATGCCAAAGATACAGGCTTATAATGCCCAAAACAGGAACATGTTCAACTGACAATGAAAAGAAACTGACAGATGTGAAAGACCAGCCAAAACCAGCTTTATTCCTTTTACTCACTCCATCTGGCTATCTCATTCTATAAAGTCTTCCTAGCAACACTCTGTGAAGTAACCATGTGCTCTGCTTTTCTGGAAACAGATGCCAACAAAGGCAGAAGGAAGGGGGCACAATGCGGGCAATTCACCTCCAATCCCCCAAAATTCTTTTAACAGAAACGAGTAGACTAGTGCCAAAGAGATCAACCATACCAAGCCCCCAACTCCACACTAATCATAGAAAGAAAAGTGTGTGTGTGTGTATGCATGTATGTTGAAATAGCAGCCTCTGTTCTGTGGCAGCAGCAGCCTCCATGTCTGCAATAGGCTGCTATTGCCCAGAGAATTTGAATCACACTTATTTCCTTAATGGAAATGGAGACTACATGACACAGATTAAGGTAGGTGGAATACTGATCTGGTAAGGTGCTTGTTCAAGGAAGAAGATGAGGATACATCTGCTGCTTTGACAGCATTTGAAAAAGACAACTTTGGATAACGGTGATTGAATGGGAACTGCCATTAGAGACAGATTCAAATGGCAAAAGTGGGTAGAGACATGAGAGTGTCTCTTATTAGGTACAACACAGATATTTGTTCTTATCAAGAATATATATATATATATATATATATATATATTTGCCTTCTGCTTCTTGGTCTAGTGGCTAAAAATCTTTTAGGAAGGCATGTGGGCATGGGTTCTAATCCCGCCAATCCCCCTTCCCCTTGCAAGGGATTTGCCCTCTTACGAATAAAAAAAAAAGAATATATATACTTACACATACATATATAATAAGAGAAATTATCAAGTATACTAACAGTGGAGTTTTTTAACTCCACAAGTGGGTTAACAGAGTGACACATACCCTTAAGTGTATATTTAAAAAAATAAAAAACCAATTTAAAAAAGAAATAGGATATGTGTCACCCTGTTAACCTTGTTTGTAGAGTTAAAAAACTCCACTGATAGTGTATCAAATAATTTCTCAATAATAAAACATAAATGAAAAGGAAAATGTCAAGATCAGGGGCTGACAGAGATGTGGGGTGTGTAAAATAAATTATGTGAGAAGGATAAGTGAAATTTTGGGACTTGGTAGGAAAATAAAGGTTAAATGGAGAGAATTCTGAATTATGTGTAAAATTTATGAGGGAATCATTGGTTTGGGAGGGAGTGAAAATATTTTAGGGCTGTGGATTGTATATTTTAGTTAACATATTTTTACTTGATTTAATTGGAAAAAAAATTACTACATATTTCATATACTTGCTTTTAACCAACATGCAATATACAGCTGAACCATATTATTATTCTTAATTATTTTAACCAAAATAAATACTATTAATTATGCCCTTTCGTAATTATTTTTTGCTCAAATTTTCTAATTTATAATTTTTTTCCCAATTTTTAGCTTTATTAAGTTATAAATATACATTTGGCGCAAGCTTATTTACTAGTGTTTACAATTTATCGCTTTCTTAAGGTTTTGGTATAATCGAACAAGGAGTCTATTAAGTAATACCAACTATTTTTAATAATATAAAATAGCATAATTGAAAATTTTCTTTTTCTGACAGAAGCATAATTGAAATTTAATCAAAGGCAAAACAATAACATAGTCTTCACAAAAGTTTTAGCTTAAGCCTCATTTATAAAAGATTAATTACATATTATAATTTTTAAAGGAAGGAAAATGTAATAAATTACTTAAATTTTATAATTAAAAAAACAGTTGGTGGGACACATTAAGAATAGCAGATCACACAAGGCAGAAAAAAAAATCACAACCATATTGTTCACAAATAGGGCTGTTACATCCACGATAACCCCAACAACAACAAATGTACTTTCTTGTGACTGCAATTTGAAATGCTTATATATGTATATATATAGATACACACACACACACCCCAAAACACCAGCAAGTAGCATTATTACATCCAAATTACTCAATTATAACTGCAATTTGGAACACTTACTGATAAATGTACATTACACACGTATATTATATGTATACATGTATCAATATATGCAAATAATTTGTAAATATGTATGAAGACATGAAATTATTTTTAAAGAGTGATAAAAGTTTTATAATAAATAATAATAGAACACAAGGTACATATTACCAACAAGTATGAAGAAGCCAATCGAGCTACATTAGGATGGAAAACAAGTTCCTGAAAAGAAAATGTCTGTCCATGAAAAAGAAACATTTTCTACTGTTAGCATCTAATGACGAGTCTTAAACACCACAATAAGTACCATCTCAATCCTATCCACCACCACAGCACAATTGCCAGCACAAAAAATCAAATTCATTCTTTTATATATTTTTTCATACTTTTCTTTTTCCAAAATCATCCTTCACTCTTTGACAAGCTCCCTTTTCACGGTTTCCCCTCTTTGACTCGTGATAATAAGTAATCTTTAAAGAGTATTTGGCTAAACAAACCAAATAAAATAAAATAAAGTTCCTTCTGTTGTCAAGGTCACTAACCAAGGTTAACATTAAAACTAAAACCAATTTACAAACAATTTCTATGATTTAAAAGTAAATAATGTTACAAGGCCTTGAGACAAAATTCAGTTTCCAATGCCAATTTCTTGGTTCAAATGGAATCTTCTCTTTTGCAATTAACTAAAATCTAGCAACTCAACTCCACATCACCCGAATTAATCCTCCAATTCTCAATTTTTATATCCTAAGATTCTTCCAACCAAGTAAGCATTATATACAAGGAAAATTACCAAAATCCATACAATCATCTAACTTACAGGGAAAAAGATAGAGACATTAAAAAGCTCTAATTAAAATGAAATAGCTTTAGATAACATACTTGAAACACCAATCTGATACCGTCCCGCGTGTCGACAGCCACAGGCGTACACGAGGAGAAGTAGCCGCTATCAATGATCCGGTCAACATCTTCCTGGACCTCCCGGGCCGTCAATGCCGAGTTGGCTTGGCAAGCTTTCAACGCTGTAAGAGCTTCCATTTCGAGGTCTTTCCTCTCCAACTCCTCTCCCTCTTTATTCCTCACCAGAACCTCGCTTATCAGGACCCTCTCCTCGTCGTATCCACCTGCCGCAGCGGACTGTCCCTTCAGCGGCACCTCCAACCCGGACTGAGTCGACTCGGCCGAGCCCGGTTGAGTCAGCAACAACGAGGCGGAATACAGCAGAGGCGATCTACCAATGTTGTGGTTCTGAGTCGTAAGAGACAGCGATGCAGAGCATAATAGGGGAGAGCTTCTGATAAGCGAGCGGATTCCTAACTCGGACTGAGTTGACTCGGTTGATCGAGTCGGGTAATTTTTTACATAAGAGCGATTCCTGAGCGAGTGAATGAGTTCGAAGGCCGAGAGACGAGTTCTGGCAAGCTGAGAGGCTAAGGTTTGTGAGAGAGAAAGGTTGGAAGAGAGGAGAGGGATTTTGATTGAAGAGGAGGTGAAGGAAACACCGTCGCTCTGACGCATTGCGGATGCAAAAACTGGAGATTAAGAAATGGGATTGAGTTTGATTGCAAAATACTATGAAAAAAAAATTTTAAAATGGCTAATCGGAAATAATTTTGGGGGATGAAATTTGACGCGTGTTGCCATTTTAGAAGGGAAAATGAAACAACATAAACCCTAGTAACCCAACTGTTATTCAATGGTTTACGAGGGAAATGAAAAACATAAATATAGGATTTTCAGATTTTACTATCATAATTTTTTTTGTAAGATCTGCAGAACGCCGTTCCCAAGGCATTATTTATTGCTTTTTTATATATTTCTGTCAAAACAAGAGTTTTCGCTTTCATTATTTTAAAAGAAAAGAAAAAGTAAGATTTGGCGATTGTGACGGAAAGATGATGAGTTGGTGAAAAAATTTCAATGATTTCAGGTAGATGTCAGTGTCTTAAAAGAGTGAAGCTAGAGCGAGTGAGAAACACACAACCTACACTTCTCCAATTTTTCTCGGAGATTTAAAACAAAATCCTTTAAAAAAATAAAAAAAAAACTTTATATATACCTTTTTTTTGAGGTTGTTTCTGTTTCAAAAAAAAAAAAAACTTTTTGGTCTTTGATAGAGTGATTATAAATGCACCACGATTTTTTTATTATATTTTTAAAAATATTTTTAAAAAAATTATTTAAACATCTTAGTAAATTTTCAGATATTTAAATTTCATAAATTTTATAATTTTTATAAAATCTATTTCGATAAAATTATAAAATTTTATAAAAATTCATTTTTACGAAGCGGTGGATTGAAATTTTTAAGAAAATTTATCAAAAAAGGATTTTATTAAAAAATTTTATTAATTAGTGTAATAAAAAAATTATTATAATAAAAATTATAAATGTTAAAATTAATAAAAGTTAATTTTATTATTTTAATTTTAAAGAATAAAATCTTAAGACATTCTAATTAAATATTTCATATCTTGATGTTTTGAAACATGATGAAAGAACTAAAAGATCTTGTATAAGAGTTGAAATTTCTTTAAACTTTACAAATACTATTATTGAATGCAATTAATTTTATCAAAATTTAGTATGCTAATTAAAAAATTCCATCGTGATAAATGATAGAGAAACTTCTCAAAAAAATTCAGTTTAACTAGATCTATTATAAAATTTTAATAATTGATACAAAAAATTACATTTATTAAATTTATAAAAAAAATTATTTTTATTATTTTATCCTTAATTTAATCGAGGTCTAATAAGATTTTATTTTTTCTTTAAGCTCAAAATAGTAAAATTAATTTTTTATTAATTTTAAAATTATGATTTTTTAATAATAATTTTTTAATTACATTAATTTATAAAAATTTTAAATAAAATTCCTTTTTTGTAATTATTCTTAAAATTTCACTACTTACTAAAAATGATTTCTGGTAAGTTATATGAAATTTCGAAAATAGATTTTCAAAAAGTCATAAAACATATTGAATATGGATATTTGAAAACTTGTGATAAAGGTAATTAAGTAATTTAATTTATAAAAATTTTGAAAAAAAAAAGTTAGATGTAAAAAGAAAAAATGATGGTACATTTAGAAGCACTTTTTCAACGCGAATTCTTTGGTTAATTCATCAAAAAGTCTTTGAATTTCAAGCAATGTCTTAATGTTTGATTCAAGAATTTACCCATTAGACACAAAAATCTTGGAATCACTATTAATCTTTTTTATTAAAATGTGTTTGGCTACCTATACAAATCTATCTTTATTAAGGTTATTTTAAATCTACATCAATAAAACTAAGGTTCAAGAGTCAATTATATGTAAAGAAAGTTTTAGTCATGCAAAAATCATATAAAAAATATCACAATAAATAAAAAATAAACATGTAAAAAAATATCATGCAAATATTTAATGAATCATGCAAATAAATAATAGTTATGCAAATACATTAGTAATCATGCAAATAGTGAATAATCATGCAAATGCAAATATATTAATAATCATGTAATTAATAAATCACACAAATAAAATATTAAGCAATCCAACAAATTCATGCTAATAATCAAACTCATGTAAAAATATATAATAAATCATACAATTAAATTAAATTCAAACATTTTTTTTCTTTTCTAGAAATCAAATCATATACTGCTTACATATAAATATTGAAAATAAAATAAAATTAAAAATTAAAGCAAAAAAAAATGGAATTAAAAAACCTGCAGCATTGATCATGTCAGACCTTAAAATAGATCAGTAAATGTATGCGTCAAGATCAAAAGGGTTGCTTCTTCTTTCGAATATCAAATAAAACCCATAAAACCCGTCGTTTAAGCCATATTCTTCATTTCTGCTTTTGTTCTTCTAAGTCTAAAACCGTTTACATCTCTCTAAAGTTTCTTCAAAGCCCTTAACTAACGAACCCAATAAAAACATGGAATCTTGTTTGTTTCGCCAACGTTACCACCATCACGGACCACTGTAGTTGATGCTATCAAAAGAACTCCAAGCTCCTTTTGTTCCTCTTTTCTTTCTTACCCGAAACTACCCCAAACCAAAACTGTACCTAAAACCTAACTGCTATCTACACATAAAAACCAATAACCCAACCCAAAAATTGCCCAGCCATCATCACCAATTTGTCGCTCGTCTTCCTTTATCCAACTACTATCCAATCACCTATACAAACCCAACAAATCTCCAAAGACAAGTCCTAGCCGAAACTTCAAGTCGAAAGAACTCCTTGGAACTTTTTTTGCAATTTTGTTTCTTTACTATGTAATTGATGATGTTCTATGTATTTGTTATCTAATTACTTGTTACCTTTGTTTTTTGTCTCTGTTTGGGGTTACTTCAGATCTTTGTTTGCTTTTGAATTTTTGATTGCCTTATTATCCTTGATTTTGGCCCTAAATTGCTTATATATATATATATATATAGATTGAATTCGTTGGCATTTGGTGATTAATGTTGTGTTTAGGTTCGAATGGGTTCCTGATAGATTCGGCTTGGTTGATTTCTATGTTTACAATGTATGGTTGTTAGGTGTGGGTGTTCTCGAGTCTAACTTCTTCTTTCTTCCTGTGTTTTTTATGGTCGATTGCCCTGTGTTTTTTTTTAGCAAATTATTTTTGAAAATTGAGCTTGTTAATTACGTGCTACTGATTGCTTGATTATGTTGATTGCTTCTTCCATTATTTCTACTATATTTTAGTGTTTAATTTAGGCTGACAGTTGTGCCTAATTGTTTATTGCCTCTGCCCCTTCAATGATTCAAAAACTTTGCCCAAATTTCATGTTGTTCAATAGCATCTACTATTCAATGACTTTTGATTCTGAATTGCTGCTATCCTTTTTTTGGATTGTGAATTTGTGATCTCTGAGGCTAATTACTATGCCCAATTTTGCTCATTGTCTCTATATTGATCGTGAATTGATGTTGAGGCCTCTATGATCATAGGTCCAAACTTTATATAGTGATTAAATCCCTTTTAATTTTGAAAATTTAAGTCCTACTAAATCTAGGAAAAATTTTTCAAAGGTTTAATTTTCTATGATTTTTTCCTTTTTTACCAATAGATTAAAGCCCAAACTTTTAAATAATTAATCCATCAAAATCAAAATCCAAGACTAAATCTGCCAAAATCCCATTTTTTTCCCAACCCTTTTTTTTCCTAATTTTTTTTACTTTGACTTTTGACTTTGACTAAAGCAATAAAAATTAAAAAAATTAAACAAAAAATTGAATAAATCTAAAAATACAAATACAAATAAAAATAAAATTTTAGGCTTTCAAATTTTGGACCTAAATTCAATTTCCCAATCAAAGCCTAATTTTCAATTCAAAGTCCATTTTGATTTCAAAAAATTTATCAAACAAAATGGGATATCTACAAACAAAAATTTTGATTTTTTTAAAATTCAATTTTTTTATTTTATTGAAAGATAAACAAAATCTTATCTTTTTAAGGTGGTCAAATCTAAAAAATTTTGTATTGCATTTTAAAAATATAATTTTTAAACATTTGATGGTTTACTGTTTATGAGAGAGGAAGCGAGCAAAAAAATAAAAAATAGTGAAAAAATATTAGATAAAAATATTGCAGTTTTTTTTTCAAAGATTACAAATAAAGTTCTTGATTCCTTGGTTTAATAGCTAAAAAGGGTTTTAAAAGGATATACAAGTTTTAATTTCAAATTAAGATCTTTTCGTCCTTTCTCTCCTAAGTTGTGCTTGTTCCTTCTCTCGTAAGTTATGTCCATCTTGTGAACCAAAATATTGTAGATAGTTTTTTTCTTTTTTTCAATTCATCAAAAGTTCATTCTTTTAAATTAAAAAAAAAATTACTAGCATTATTTTTTTAAAATCCATATTTTATTTCTATCCTTTTCTTAAGCCATTTTAGTTTTCTATTCTTAATTTTAATTAATGAAGTTATTGAATTGGGGAAATTGTCACTATTATATTGTTTAAATTTAATCTTTAATATTAGGTTTGCCTTAACAATATTGGTTTTCTTTTTATGATTTGATAGAAAATTAGATGTCGGGTCATGTCAAGCTAAGATTCCATGTATTTTTTAAAATTTTTATAAACATTCATTTACATTGTTTTAGTACAATTAGTTTTCTTTTTGGTTGTGAAAGGTAATATATATGTACATATATATATATACATATATATATACATATATATATATACATATATATATACATATATATATACATATATATAAACACATAGACACTCGCATAATTATATATATTTGCTTGTTTAGTGGAAGTTTGATCAATATGGGAATGTGATCCTCTGACTTAAGCCAAGTTGTGAACAAGATCATAAAACAAAAATTATTCATTTCCATAATATAAATCTTTACACTGAAAACAAAAATTCTTTGAGAGTTTTCCTTTTTGCTTAGCTCTTTTTTCTTTCCCTTTTTATTCTCCATTTCTAGTGGTTTTGTGATTATCTTTTTCACTCTCTTAATGATGGTCAAATGCCATCTTATCAATATAAGAAAGGTGTTAGTAGTTTAGATGTTTAAAATTTAAACATCATCCTTAATAGTCCATGGTAATTTCATTATTAAAAAGCAAAATAATAGAAAAACTGCCTAAGGTAGTTTCTACTAATGGGGTGTGTAGACACCCATCTGTGTCCAGGCCAAATCAGGGTTGATTTTCTTTATAATTATCACTTTGTTATTACTATAGTATAGTATGCTATTATATATTATAGTATAGTATTATTATTAGAATTATTACAGTTTAGTATGTAGTATAGTATATCATTTGTCTATTATTTTATTATTATTATTATTATTATTATTATTATTATTATTATTATTATCATTACACTATATTTATTATACTATAGTATATTATTAT